TGACCAATCTATAATCTGTTTGGGCAGACGATGTTCTGGCATTCTCTGCACATGTCCATACCACTTTAGTTGTTGTACTCTTATATCTTCGACAATCGTATGTGTGACTCCCATAACCTCTCGTATACGTTCGTTATTAATTCTTTCGAGTTTTGATTTTCCTGCGGCCCGTCTCCAGTAGTCCATCTCCGTGGCTTGTAGTGTTCTTTCAGTAGTTGCCTTTAACTGCCACACGTCACTTCCATACATTACTATGCTCTTTATAATAGTGTTGTATATTCGATGTTTATTTTTTTTTGGATATATGTTGATCCCAGATAATTACTATTTAGTTGAGATATGGCCCTTCTACCCTGAGTGTTTCGTTTTTTTATAGCCTGATCTGATTTGCCGTCGTCTGTGATTTCTACTCCTAAATAGGAATATTTATTGTTGTACTTAATGTGTTGTCCGTCGTTTAAAACTAGATTTTGTTCTTTACCACCGATGTTCATGTACATTGTTTTATCTATGTTGACTTCTAATCCCCATTTTTTGTATTCTTCGATTAATTTTCGAGTCATGTATTCTAGGTCGTCATATTCGTTAGCAATTACAATTTGATCATCAGCAAAACATAGAGTGTACAGGTTGTTATTGTTTAATTGTATACCCATGCCGCTGCATTTCCGCTTCCAGAGTTTTAATGCTTGTTCCAGATATATTTTGAAAAGTGTCGGCGCTAAGCAGCATCCCTGCTTCAGTCCTTTGTCTACTACAAAACCTTTGGAAATATTCGTTCCTATTTTAACTTTGGCGTTGGCGTTCTCATATAGTTTTTCCACTGCTGTTATGAGATTTGAGTTGATGTTCGTTTGTCTGAGAGTGTTCCATAACTTATTTTGAGGGATGCTATCGTAGGCCTTTTTTAGATCAACGAACAAAAAGTGGACTTCTTGATCTACAGCAACCTTTTTTTCTATAAGTTGGGTGATACAAAAAAGGTGGTCTATGGTCGATCTACCAGCTCTAAAACCCGCCTGTTCTTCTGCCTCCATATCAGTGTATTCTCTTTCTATTCTATTTTTGATCATTTTCCCATAGATTCTACTAATGGTACTAGTAACTGCTATTCCACGGTAATTGTCGCAATTTTGTTTGTTTCCCTTTTTATGTAAAGTTGAAATGGTTGAGGTTTTAAATTCGTCTGGAACCTCTACTTTGTTTATGCAGTTTTAAAAGAGTATTGTCAAATGCTCATATAGTTTTTCAGTTCCATATTTTATCAGTTCTGAGGGTATATTGCCAGGTCCGGGCGCTTTTTTGTTTTTGAGTGAAATACAGATATCCCTTACTTCCTTTTTCGTGATTCTTATAGGAGATGCTTCAACGCGTGTGTTTTCAGACCCTTTTATTCCTATATTTATATAGCTTCCCTTAATGTTCTTGTTTTAGACTGTAGCGCAGGGGTCACCAATTATATGCCCTGAGGGTCCGTTTTAAAAAACTACTATACTTCCGCGGTCCGGACCCTCAGCACTAAACCAGGCAGTGGCGTAACCGGGGAGGGTTACCCACAAAGCTTCCAGTAGTTGTAACCCCCCTCAGGAGGTTACGTAGTTGAAACCAGGCAATCATAATATTTCACAGAATGGTAACTATGTCAAAAATAGGCAAATTAAAATAAAGTTATTATGAAATACAAAAGAATTTCAAAATGTGAAATACAAAAGAAATTCATTTTATTATATTTTTTAGTTTTAATATTTTAGTTTTATTATAGACTAGTTACTAGGTACCTACGTCGTAAGTATGTAAATTAAAATTATTTTAAAATATAATAATTTTAGTGTTCAGACAGTTTCCCTATTGTAGTTTGCTAAAAGATTATTTTTAGGTGGTAGGTATTTCCTGAAATTTTGGAAAACGAGTATTTCGATATAGTGTTAGTACTCTGAATTTTAATAATGTAAAGATATTTAAATATTTATATATATATATATATATATATATATATATATATATATATAGTTCAGCTCAACAGGCCTCAAAGGCCCAAGGCTTCAACGGTTTTCTTCCATTTCTTTCTATCTTTTTTAAGTTTTTCCAATCTTGTACCGCAGCGACTTCAGATTTTCTTTTGCCGACTCCAGCCATTTTATTAATTCATTGGGAACTCTTCCTTCCTTCATTCTTGCTATATGCCCGAGCCATCTTAATATTTGAATTTTAGCGAGTCTTGTTATTTTTGATTGCCCATATATTTGCATTATTTCTTCATTCGTTCTTCTTCGCCAGATGTTCCCCTCTTTTACATCTCCGTATATCCTTCTAAGAATTTTTCGTTCCCATCTATCTAGTTTTACTTCCATATCTTTATTTAGTGTCCAGGTCTCGCTAGCATAGAGTACTGTAGGTCGGAAAATTGTTGTATATATTCGTTTTTTTTGCTGTTCTGGATATTATCTTCGACCTCAGTATCTTAGTCAGGCTCCCAGCACTCTTACTACCTTTGGCCATTCTTTTTATGATTTCTTGGTTCTCTTCGTTCCTATTTGTTAGTGTCACTCCCAAGTAATCGAATTGGCTAACAACTTCAAAGTTGTATTCTTTACTTGGGCTTTGTATCTTAAAGAACTGTCCTAGATGATTTTCGTTTCCCCTCATTACCATATATTTTGTTTTTTCTTCGTTTATTTCTAAACCATATTTCCTGGCTATTCTCTCTATTCTAGTAAAGATTTCTCTTAATTCTGCAGGTCTCCTTGTTATTAAGGTAACATCATCTGCATATGCTACACATTGATGCCTGTGATGATATATTGTGCCTCTGGTGTAGATGTTACATTCTCGTAAAATCTTCTCTAAGATCAAATTGAAAAAATCTGTTGATAACGGGTCACCTTATCGCAGACCTCTATTGGTGATAAAGCTATCCGAAACACGTCCTTCTAACATGACTTTACTTTTAGTCAGTCTTACTATTTTTGGTGGAAGTTCAAAATATTCTAGTGCTTCATATACTTTATTTCTTTTTATAGTATCATATGCCTATCTAAAATCAATAAACAGCATGTGTAATGTTAGGTTGAATTCATATGAGCTAGCTAAAATTTGTTTCATTGTAAAAATTTGTTCTATTACCGATTTGTTTGCTCTGAAACCTGCTTGATATTCACCTAGACAATTTTCAACTTTTGTTTTAATTTTATTTCTAATTGATATGACCAGAATCCTATACACTGTATCTTGTAGAGCTATTCCCCTGTAATTTTTACATTCTGTAACGTCTCCTTTTTTATGCACTGGACATAAGATTACTTCTTTCCACTGATTGGGTATTTTTTCTTTGATCCACACTTCGCGTATTAACTCAGCGATTTCTTCTTGCACAATTTTACCACCTTCTTTTAGAAACTCAGCAATGATACCATTTTCACCAGGTGCTTTGTTGTTTTTTAAGTTTTTTATGGTCTCTATAATTTCTTCCTTGGTAGGTACTTCTTCATTTACATATGGGTCCCTTACTTCTTCACGTTGTAGTTGCGTTTGTTGTTGTAAATATTTAGATTTGATTATAATTTTAGACTAAAATTTTATTACTATATTTTGAATTTAATGACAGTTTGCAAAAAACAAGCTCACGGTCCGCATGCGGACCGCTGTCCGCCATTTGGTGATCCCTGCTGTAGCATAACCGCAAGCTACCAAGAAAATCCATCCTATGAATTTCCATACAAATAAATAAAAGAATCAATAAAACAAAGCATATGATTCAGCCAAATATATAGTGTATTTAATTGTGTTGATTATTTCAGGAAATTTTAACGAAATATGGGCTCGTGATATCTTCTGCGAAGCATACAAACTAAAAATGTACGGTAAAAAGTATCAGTGGATCATAATGGGGACGTACAGTCCGGGATGGTGGACGCGGTTGGAGCCTGACTTTAACTGCACGTTGGAAGAACTGGAGTCAGCGTTACAGCAAACAATTTTGACTGATCTCTTACCATTATCGACCAGTGGAGAAATTACAATATCTGGAATAGTAAGTAGGATATAAGTATTGTTAATAAATAAAAATAGGTAGAGTAGGAATATTTGAACTATTGTCTCAAATTTTAATTAACGAAACTAATAAACATTGTTATTAAAAAAACAAAGAAAAAAAGCAAAAAAATATTTATCTGAGATCATATAGTATATTGTCCATATCCTTCGGACAAAATGGCTTACATTATAATAGCTACAAAATTATTGGCATATTTCGCAAACAAAGCGCCTAGTTCTTCTTGGAACATCAGCTCAAGAAGCGTGAAGACAAAACAAACATTGTAAGTACCAAAATCAGTTTTCTTCGGGTTTAGATCTTAAATAAATATCGTTACAGTAAATGCATGCACAGTCCTCTTCATCGCTATAAGAAATATTAGAAAAATCTTCTTCCTCATCGTTTTTTTCGACTAATTTTGGATGGTTTTGTGTTTTTTCTTTATTGGAGGAGTTTTGGGCTCATTTCTAGCTTTTCTTTCTAATATAGTAGGAATATAAATCAACACCAACGAGATCTGTCGCATTTTTGGTTTACGTTTCCCTTGGCCACTAACAAAACATTGTTTTGTATCTGGAGAAAGCAGCTCAATAGGAACCGCACGAGCAGCAGACAATGGACGTTCAATGGTAGCAGCAACACTTAAAATAAAAATTTTGTTATGTGAAGGTTATGTTAGAACCTGTCCGTAAATATATTAGATGCCAATACTTTTAAATCCGTGACATGCATTTTGCACCGTAGCTGCCCTGCCATATGCCTTGTTGAATAAGCCGGTGATCTGAAGATGCGTAACAGCACGTCATTTAGCAGTTTCTTGGTTATATCAGGTCTTCAACGACCCAAAAAAAGGAGACGTCAAGAGTTTGCATACGATAAGTACAATATGGAGGCAGAAAAATAACATGAATACCGTTTTCTTTTGCACATTCCAAAATTTCAATGCATTTATGACAATATCTATCGA